ATTTTTTCTAGTCTATTTTCAGCACAGACATCCTGAGACCTTTGACTCATGCTAAAACATTCCTTAAAAAGATTGAAGTTAGTTCCTTTAAAATTCTTCCTTCCTAGAGCAGGGTTTCTAAAATGATGATGGCCCATGCAATGGGCTTAAGGGTCTGAGCTATAAGCGCCTCTAAATCTCTTCAATGTACTAAGCCCCAATTAGAGAGATCATGGAAACAGACCAGAAGGAGGCAAAAAACACAAACATTTCTGTCAGTCTGGTTTCTGGGACAGGAAAGTAAGACTTGCTTTCCTCCCAATGAGGACCCAACAGGTATAAGTGGTACAGAGCGGTTTCCTTTTTCATAGAAATTAGGAGATAAAGCAGAGAACAGATCAATTTCACTCTCCTACTGGGCCTTCTAACTACTTGCATAACCTAATAAAAACCATCAAAACCTAAATGAAGAAAGGCACAAAAATGAGAAACAGGAACTAGTCACCTCATCCCTCACCCACATTAGTAGTAATAGTGAGAACTGCTATCTTTTTTCAGAACATACCTACTAAGTACAAGACTCTGCTAGGTTCTTGACATACTTAATGTAAAGAATCTGTCAAATTTCAACAGGCCTGCAGAATAGGCATTACCCATATATTATAGATGAAAACAAGACTCAGAGAAGTTCAGTAGCTTTCCCAAGGTCAGATACGTAGCTAATAGCGCTGGAACAGGATTTTGACTCTAAAACTTATTGTGCTTGCTTCTCTATCACTTCCCTTGCTATGCCAGTGAAAATAGTGACATTAGCACATCAGACTTTCCTTCTGTAAGCTTTTGATACCACCCTGACCTAAGAGATATGTTCTGAAAATACAATTAGCTCAAATATTCATGACCGTTTCTAATGGCTACATCTTCTGTCTTATACTATACATGCTAAAATGTTTCAGAATTATTTCTGTTGGAATATTGGGCATTTTTCTCTTTCTAAGTTTTAGATTTATCTCTCCTTTCATATTCATTTAGCTAAGCAAAAATCTACTAGGTTCATCAAATGGCTTGACTATGTAAATGTCATAATCATTTACATAGTTAAGGTCTCAGGAAATAAGCTTTCTTTGTTCAAAGGCTGAAAATTACCAAGAATTTTTATGTTTTAGTAATAAATTCTCTATTTGCTGAAAGAACAAATCCTTCAAAAGGCTGATACAATTGCAAACATGTAAAATATCTTTGTTCTTTTTTTACTAAGGAACTGGTCTGTGTTTGTACGGTTGACCAATAAATCAAGTCATTAGAACTTTTAAAACAGAAACCCGTAAATTTAGTATAACACATCTTTAAAATGCCAAAAATCAGAATTCATATACTCCCTCACACAGACACAGACATCAAAATGATCTAAAATTATCTGGTTTCATGTATATGAAAGAGTCTGAATCACTCATGCATGATAGGTAAATGTATCTGTAGTTAAAATTATATTGTTTTAAATTATAACCTTGTTTTATGTTTCTAAGTTTTATACAGTTTTATGTACTGTAAAATCATCTATATTAACCTTTGACAGGTTTATGTTGGTAAAGGAGATTTGTACCTGAGCAATCTACTTGGAATAAAATCCATGGATGTCACTGTTTTTTAATCATATTTTCCTTTCTCCCTTCTTTGACAAGTTCCACAAATACCACTGATCTTTTGGCGATTCAAAAAAATCTTAAACCAAAATTATACTAACTAAACCATTTCAACATTTGATAATGGTCTCCCAGTTATTCCAATCTTCATTCACAATAATAAAAAAATGCTTCTATCAAATCCCTTCCTATTATATGTAAGATAGGTCTAACTATGACACATGTCTAAGTCTTGGCTTTATTTACATGTCTTTTCCTTTCCTTTTTAGCTTATACGATAGATCAGAGGTCAGCAAACTTTTCTGTAGAGGGCTAGACAGTAAATATTACAGGCTACGCAGGCCACAAGCAGGCCACAAGGTCTTCGTTGCAATCACTCAACTTGCAGCTGCGCAAAGCAGCCAAAGACAATACATAAGTGAATGGGTGTGGTGGGCTAGCTGGCATCATATGGGATTTGGCACATGGAAGTAGTTTGCTGGTCCCTGAGTTAAGTCATGGGGAAAACAGAAAAAACTGTGTCACTACAATCATCTGGGGTATCTTAATATTTAGCTGGACGGAAAAAACCATTCCTTGCCATGCCAAGTTCGGACTGCTTTGGCAAATACAATTAATCTTGACCCAGAGACTGCTAAATACAATAGCCCAGCAAAATTAGATTCTACTTTTCCAGATAATCACACATTTTTGTTAAGCATATCACTGGATAAATAACAAGGCCCCACTCTAACGGTGGCCAGTCTTTCTAAATTGTCTGCTCCATCCCTCTCACCTTGTTTCCCCAACTCATCCCAATTCCACTGGAGAGAGTACTTATTTTTTGTCCCAGGACGGTCAAAGTATCACCACCTCTTCCTTATACAAAGAGTGATTTCTATTTCTCCTACTTCTGCTACCAGACAGAGTTGGAGGCTGACTGCATTCCCAAACCTCTCCTCCCTTGCTGCCTTCCACTATATAAATTGGACAAGCTAAATGCTTACTTTCTCAGCCTCTCTTTCTTGCAGCTTAGCTTGACCAAGTAATAAATCTCAGGACAATAAATATCTTATGAAAGGCTGCTGGGGTAGGGTGATGGGGTGAGGGTACTCTGAGAAAGATTTCATGTTTTTAAAAAAAGAGCGGGAGTCACAACTGACAGAACCTCTTCCTCCCCCTTTTTTCCTGCCTTCACGCAAATGTGATACCTGGAACTGGAGCAACCATTTTGCAACCTGGAATTCTGCAACCATAAAAGACACTAAGGGAACTGTAGAGATCCCTCACTGAAAACTTTAAGCCACTGAACCCATGCTATTGGCATTTGTCTCCAGAGCTGTCATTTGTGAAAAAACAGACCCTGTAAAGCAAATTTTTGTTCCAAGTAAAAGCATTCCTAATCTACCTTTTCTTGAAAGTGTCCTGAGACACTCCTCCTTATGAGAAGTAAAAGACCGAAACTGGCTGAGCACAGTTCGTTTTGAATTCTGACTAAACAGCACTTCTTTAACCTAGAGATAAAACTAGCAGGAAGAAAAACATAAAAGAGGGTCTAACATGAAAGTAGACAACCTAGGGCAATAAAGTCAATGAGGGCAAAGAAAAGAGAAGCCCCAAGAAGATTATTCAAAAGCTAAAGAGATTTAGAAAAAAAATAATTGAAAAAATAATCATTTAGAATTGTGGGGCCCATAGCTTTATGAATGCTCTACTCAGCCAATCAAATCTGAGAATTCAGATTATATTAATTTCCAATCATGTATTCCCACTGTTTGAAAAATACAAGTTCAGAGCTTATTTTTATAGTTATATTTTTGTGCTTTTTATTCAAGCAAATTAATTTACCTTTATGCTTCCATTTCCCTGGTATTCACAAGGTATAGTTACTGTCAATATATGATCATTTGAAGAAACTCTGAAATTACTAACAATCAAGGTAACGATGATACTGACAATAAGGACAATAGTTCCTTCAAGCATTCACATACTAGTTTAGCTGGCAGACCCATCGCCCTAACTTTAGGGACAGTCACTTCTCTTTTATATCAATACTACTGCAAAAAACACCCAAAGATAAGCAATTCTACCCAGTCAAACAAAACTTTAGAAATGCTTATTTTAACTCACACATATCCCTTAAGAAATACTATTCTTAAGTTAAAACACCAGTTTGTATTTTACTTTCTTACAAATACTCTGTGTGTGTGTGTGTGTGTGTGTGTGTGTGTGTGTGTGTGTGTGATGCACCACTTAACAATGGGGAAACGTTTAGAGAAATGTGTCCTTAGGCAATTTCATAGCTGTGTGAACATCATAGAGTGCACTTACACAAACCTAAATGGTATAGCCTTCTTACTACACACCTAGGCTCTATGGTACAGCCTATTGCTCCTAGGCTATGAGCCTGTACAGAATGTTACTGTACAAACCAACACAAGACTAAATCAAGCACAAGAGAAAATGATGCAACCAAGAGACGCGGTAAACAGGAGATGTATGAGGCTGCTGCAGGTAGAACACTCACTGCTTTACAGCAAACTTTCTTTTTATAAGTAGAAAGAGTACACTTTAACAATAATAAAAAGTAGAGTATAATAAATACATAAACCAGTAACATAGTTGTTTATTATCAAGTATTACATACTATCTATAATTGTATGTGCTATACTTTTATATGACTGGCAGTGCAGTAGGTCTGTCTATACCAGCATCACCACAAACACGAGTTATGTGTTGCCCTATGGCGTTAAGATGGCTAGGACATCCCTAGATGACAGGAATTTTTCAGCCCCATTATAATCTTATGGGACCACATTTGCATATTCGGTCCATTGCTGACCAAAACATCGTTGTGCAGACGTTTTCACACACACACTCCTCCCGAGTTCTAATCCCAAGTTACCTCCTTCATGAGAAGAGTCTGGTGGTATCATGCTGCAGTGTAATATGCTTATCAATTACAACATCTACAAATCACAACGGATTTTTAAAATTTTTAGGATTTCAGAGTACATTTCCTTAGGACTGTCAAAGGGTTAGCTAGGAAGAATACCAAATACAAAGAGGTTTCAGGTTCAAGTGCAGCAGTGGGACAGAATTTAATAAAGTTCCAACACTACATTCTAATGCCCAAATTTCTTATTGTCTTTTTCAGCTGACAAATATGAGGTGCTCCTCAGTACAATAGCAGCACCAGAACAGCTGGATGACCACATCAAGCACAAAAGAAGCCACAGTGCATGCTGTTAAGTGTCGCTCCGATTGCCTAGAAATGGCAGCCCATGCAGATGTGCTCCCTGTTATACATTAGAACGATTATTTCTTTGGAGTTTACATTTTCTTCATGAAAGCATCAAACTTTCCCACATTAAAAAAGACAACTTTCAAAAAGGATATCTTCCCTTTCTTTGATGATCAGTTCATTCTGTTCTTCCAACTGCCTGATCTTCTTTTCAAATGATTCCTGCTCAGCTTTGAGTCGCTCTTCTGTCACTTCCTTTTCCTCACTTACTCTGAAAGAAATTACAAAATGAAAAGAAAATGCCTGAGAGAATAAAATATGTGCTCACAGCTGTGGTTTACCAAAACTACATTTCTTCCAGAGGTATGCTGATTTCTTCAGAGATACTCTTCTATTTTTTTAAACTAACCTTTCATAAGGCAATCATTCACACCTTTGCAATAAAAGACGTATGTTACTGTTAAATCAAGAATGTTTCCAATCATCAGAAGTATTTTAAATATGGAAAGTCCTATACAGGACATATGTTCCTAGTTATAATCCAGGATAGAAAAATAACCCATTTTTAAAATAGTTTCATTCCTTCATTATCAAAATAGGTACAATCAATTTATTTTGATTAAGATATTTTTATACTTTTATTTAAATCTTGTCAATGAAATAAACAACACACAAAGTCACTTAACCATTTCACTAAATATACATAGGCAATTTTACTCTTTTTACCAGTACTGATACCCTGCATTCCTCAGTAGCATATAAATAACATAAAAAAAGTTTGCACTACATTTATTCTTAGTCCAAAAAGGATTTTAAAGTTAAAAACACTGACCAAAAAACTACGATGTCTAATTCTGAAGAATATTCCAATTCGAGCCTACCAAAAAGGAGTAGTTTCTGACAAGAGCACAGAGGGCGGGGGAAATCTTTTTTTTTTTTTTTTTTTAAATACAAGTTTGTTGTTGGTGGTGGTGTTGTTGTTTTTAATTTTACTGGGGAACAGTGTGTTTTTCCAGGACCCATCAGCTCCAAGTCAAGTAGTTGTTTCAATCAAATTGTGAAGGGTGCAGCTCAGTGGCCCATGTGGGGATCAAACAGGCAACCTTGGTGTTACGAGCACTGCGCCCTGCGCTCTAACCAGCTCAGCTAACCAGCCACCCTGAAAAAATATTAACAAAAAAACAACCCACAAAAAACAACTAAACAATAACAACATTAAAATGTATCTTAAGGGGCCGGCCGAGTGGCTCAGTTGGTTAAGAGCTCGCTCAACAGTGCGAGCTCTGAGCAAAAGCAGTTCGATACCCGGCCTGAGCTGAGTTGCCACTGAGCTGCCAACAGGTGGCAGGATGGCTCAGCTTAAAAATAAAAAATGTATCTTAAAATGACAACCCTAATTTTCATGTTACTCGGCATACAGAGATGTTAGCCCTGCATTTCTCTGTTACTGGTGCTTGTTTCTTCAAAGAGAGTACAACACATTTATCCTACAAGATCACACAGGGATATGTGTAAGTGAAATCTAGGGAATCCAAACCTTTCCTCTAAGCTCCTAAATTTACTTTTGCTCAGACCTCTACTCTACCAGAGCAATTTCTGAAAAACATGAACTCCACAGCCTTTCCTTTGTTCCTAGACTTCCGGCAAACATATTGAAATCAATGACATAACAGAATGAAAATTAGAAGTTTTGAATGTTCAAGAGTTGATTTCATTTTGTCTTTGAAATAATTTGTGTGAAAACGCATGGCACACAGTAGTGTTTGAACAATAGATTTATTTCCTCTTGCTTATCTTGACATTCAAATCATTTCCTCAATTTTTTATGTTTAGCACACTACTGCCCATGACTGGGACTCAGGTCCTTTTTTCTAAAAAAATAAACTCTAAAGTGGATACAATTACAAGGAATCCACAGGACTAAACAAAGCAAATGCACCTACATGAAGAGGATTTACATTGTGGTCTCAGGTTATGTTGCCTCCCCTGTAGACTGCCTAATTTAACTTAACATTAAACTACACACAGAGATTATCCCTAGAGACTGCCGGATGACACCCTCGTAGGTATACCCCAACATTTACTTACTCTCTTTGTTCACTCTGAAGGAGATCCCATGAAAACGCTAAGGATCATTGAGGGCAAAAATGCTTGTGCATACATTCCATAATACCAGAGTCTATCATGAGCTTTCCCCAAAACTTAAAGTGCTTTATATAAAAAAAAATCACTTTTTAAAATTTAGTTTCTGGAGTATGTTTGAAAAATTTGTTGTTACATCATTTAAACAGGGTCTCTCTCTCTTTTTTTTTTTATCTTTTTTGTTAGGCTGCTGTGACTAGACTACCCTTTAGCAATTATTATGCTCTGGAAGGCTATAAAATTAACAAGCTGTGGTAAGCACAAAGTGAAACACTTTTTCCACAAGCTTATCTAAAGACATGCATAGCTTCTTTGTGGCCTCTTAGCATAGTTAATATGAGCAAGTATATTAATACAGCCTTTAAATGCAAAGGACTTGCCAATAAAACAACCTCGAGATTTGATATCCACTCTGAAATCTGTCTTCTTGTTTAATTTATGCTTAATAATATTTCCCATGAGATATATGTAAGAGAAAATATATGGTATCATGATCTACATTTTTCATCAAAGCGTTCTCAGACCACAACGTAACATAAAAAGGCCTATTCCTCTACCTCATTAAGAGTATAGCAACAAGTTAATTAACAAAATGAGAATCTAAATACAGTAAAGGGAAATATTTGACTAATAGGATAAGAAAGCTAAAACTGTGACAAGAAGACATTCCCAGAGTTGGTTTGTTAATTATTTACAAAGAGGACAATGGCCTGTTCATAAAGTAAGAAATTACCACTGTTAGCATTTATTTAGTGCTTCAGTGTTTCTCAAAAACTTCCAAAAACTGTACTGTTATCTATCACAAAAAAACCCTCAGAGTTGGATAGCTGGGCAGGAAATTGTGCTGAAAAGTACTGAATTTCTTTGACGTCTTATGGATTAGCTTAAACATCCCTGAATATTTTGTGTTTTTCTCCAAAAAACAATCTTTTCTGTTTTAATATAAAAAGTTACTCCACACCCATCTATTCTAATTTTTTTTTTTTCCAATTGGGCAACAAGTGTATTTTTTTCCAGGACCCATCAGCTCCAAGCCCAGTCATCATTTTCAATCTAGTTGCCGGGGGGCACAGCCCACCATGTCATGTGGGAACTGAACCGGCAACCTTGTTGTTAAGAGCATGTGCTCTAACCAATTGAGCCATCCGGCCGCCCACTGGCAGCTCAGCTCAGTCATTGTCTTCAATCTAGTTGCAGATGGCACAGCTCACTGGCCCATGTAGGAATTGAACCAGCAACCTTATTCAGAGCACACACTCTAATCAACTGAGCCATCTGGCCACCCCTATTCAAAATTTTTTAGTAAAACTAATGTTTTAGAGGAAAATTTATTTTATGGCTTTGCATAGCCCTGACATTCTTCTAGATACTCTAGGAATGGGTACTTTTTTATATTATTGTGAAAGGCAAGGTCATGGCAGCAAAGCTACTATCCAAAGGAGAATTACAGCTCACCCAACGGTCAACCAGATAAATTTCTTCCCCTATTTAATATCTTGTGTTTGGGAGCTGGGTATGTATTTTTAAAATTCCGAATATCAACTTAGCAGGTAAGATTTGGAGAAGAAAGGAACAGATTTCATAGGACATCTAGCAAACAGGCGGAGACACATTGTTTTCAAGCAAAAGTAAAGGTGAAGTGAAAAAGAATGGCTTTCATTATAAAAAATATATATTTCAGTGAAATTATCTCAATGTCCTCTTTACAAATTTTAACATTTGGCTATTATTTAAAATGTACTGTTCACATTCATATAGCACTGTAATGTTTCCTGAGACCATGCAGAAAGGAAAGAAATTTCTACAAAAAAACTAACCTCTTTTAGGAAGTAAGATTTGGCCCGAATGAAGAGAAAGACTATTGAGTGTACGCTAGTCACTCAAAAAAGTCTTTGAATTGTAGAACTCAGAATAAACAATCTGAAAATGAATTTTGGCATATTAACTGTTCCATAGTGTCAAGATACACTAATGTTCAGAGAATGTCTCTCACCTAAAAGAAGTTAAAAATTTCTTATTTTTTCTTGAAATTTACTATATAACCCATTATAAATACCATTTATACAAAAAGAAAAAAATCTCCAAAGCCCACAAATGGGAAGACAAAAAAACTGAGTCGCTGAAAAATTAGTCTTAACTTTTTTGTTGTACTGAAATGTACATTTAATTACAAAAAACAAGTTATGATTAGCTTAAAAAATAAAAGACTAGAATAAATATAAAATAATAATCTACTCATTTTACAATGGGAAACTAATGGTGTTACGCTTTCTATTTTTCTTCTGAGAAATGTCAAGTACAAACAGCAAACTGTCCTCTGGGAAAAATCAGAGTATCTGAGTCTAAAAAAGAACCCTGTCCTCAAATGAGCTAGTGCACAAGTATTCACTGGAGAGCCATGCATTATTTGACACTATAGGCTTAGGACATGAAATAGTGGGGATTTTTTTTTTAGGCTTCTTAGAACATGGCTCCATATACATCAAAAACTGCAGTGTGGCCAAGATTATTTTAAAACCTTTTTTTTCCCTTTAGACTAAGCTATTATATAGTTTGTGTATTAGTCTTTGGAACCCCTCCCCATCTTAAAAAGTCTCAGTATAAAAAATGCAAATGCATATGTAAAGAAGTAACCATCTTTCAGCACAAACTACAATATTTTGCAAAGCCAATCATTTTTCAAGTCCCCATAAATGACACTGCTTTTCCCATCTATGCAAACAATTCATTATTTTACTGTAAAAGACTTTCTGAGGTCACTTAGCTCAGCAATCTTAAACAAAAAGAAATCTCTCTATCCTTATGCCTGCAAGAAAGATCAATCAATATTCCACTTATCCTTCTGCAAATGTAAATCAATGCTGGACACCTCAGGAAAATGCCCTCCTTTACTTAAAACCCATATATCAAATCATCTCTTATATTCTCTTCTGCAAGCTAAATAATTCATAAAATTCTTAATTTATCTTTGTGACATCTGTTCTCCATTAGCCTATTAATTTTTATTTGTATTCTGTTTATTAATGTAGTTAACACCAGTGAAAAAAGTTCCCTGAGCATATACAGATTACTAAGGAGGCATCTACAAATTATTAAAAACTTACATCTGGTTTTTTTTTTTATTGTTGT